CGGGGAGGATCGTAAGTCTTGGCTGGCCTCAGGCTTTACCTGGAACGATTTTGTTGTAGTTACCGGGCGCACAAAGGTCACCGCAATCATTGCAGTCTCCGTTTGCGAAAAGCGCGCGCTTTTTATAAACAGCGGAGTAACAACTAGGATGCTTATTCGTGTGCATCTGTTCTTGTGAGTACGTTTCGTGCGTAATTTGTGCGTGAGAAACGCGGGGCACGTTTCAATCTGCTTTCTATTCTGCGCGCGACCTTCAAATTTGTTGCTATCGCGTTCATTGCTTCACCTTTGCGGCAAAGCTGTGACTTTTTTTCGTTAAACATATCTCTTTCTCTCGATATATATATTGTCGCTCTCTCGCCTTCTTCCTTTATCTCTCTCTTTTTCTTTCTATTTTCTCTTTCTTTCCTACTTTCTCTCCTTCTCTTTTTATATTGATTCTCCCTCTTTTCCTCCTACTCACCCTCGTTACTGTTTCCCAGCTCGTTGTTATATTAAGCTCTGCTATCATGCGCGCGTGTTGCAGATAAACGCATCGCCAACATTTCCCTCAACATACCACTTAATTAGGATGACCACTCAGCTCCGACTACACGAGCTCATGAACAGTCAAGGTATTTGCATTACTAAGGTGATTATACATCATTACCGCCTTTGTAATGTATGATTGGAAAATGCCTTGATATATTCACTGTAAAAATGAATACTAATATTGAGTGCTGTGTGTTGGTTGGGCCACGATAAGAGCACAGTGAACATATCAGTTCTCTGTACTCAATGGGAAGTGGCATGCCTATGATAAATAAATATCATGAAAGAAAAAAAAACTTGACATTCAAGCGGATACGCTTGCCTTCGGATTGTGGATAGGCGGTATCCAAAAGGGCTTTGCCGAGAATTTTTCTTTCGCAAGACATTCTTTCTCTTCTCCTATATCCATTTCTTTTGCTCTCTCTTTACAAATCAGCGCATGTATTCCAACAGCGAAGCAGAAGAGGATGAAGAGAGTGTGTGCTGGTTCATGATGATGACAATTTTCTTTCTACGACAAACGGAGAACCTCGAGCATAGCAGCTCTGCTGAACAAAGTCAACTGTCCCTTTCGTACGCGGTCTGTCTCACGTCGCGCGCACTTTCTTGCGCTTGTTGCGGGTGCCTTGAAGCGAAAACCAAGATGCAGCATAGTCACGTGCCTGAAGCGGTCGGCAATCCGCCTGTTCTGAATGGTGTGCTGCGTGCGTGCACACGCCTGTTGAATATCATGGAACAATTAGAAGAGCAACACCATTCCCCCTGCCGTTCTGTTGTAGACGTAACGCTTTACCGTTACGGTTCCACCAATCCTGAATGCAACGGTGGCGTTCCTCCGTTCCCCACAAAAGTAGCTGGATCCGGGAGCGTCATTCCTGGGAATGCCGTTCCGTACAATACTGCTTAGATTTGGGCCTGTTGGTTGATGCTGGACGACGAAAAATAGCACTGCATGAACGGGTACACAACAAGAGGGCCCACGGCAGAGGCGCTAACTTCCAATAGCGAAAGCCGTTATGAGATCGTAACAAGGCTCACGTGCGGCGCCGTATAAAGTTATCAGCCGTCACCGGTGTCCGTGAGCATTATCACACCAAATAGGAAAAAAAAAGAACACAGTAAATAGAAAACATCAAGGGATTCGAAGCCGGCTCCGTTGCGTGCCAGATCAGCATTCTACAACTGAGCCACGCTGGTGCTTGAGACTCCTTTGCAAAGTGGCCTTAGGCGAGCTTGATGTCGGGAAAGGAATCGCGTTATTTTGAGTAACAAAGTGTTTTAGAATAGCACAGTAACAACCAGGTGTTACGCAATGCGAATTGTGCAACTCGCTGGTTGTTGAATGCTCTAGCCCATTGCAAAAGGCTTGATCTTCTTCAAGACTTCACCTATTGACTGCGGCACATACCCACTGTGGGGGATTGTTGGTTGGTTGGTTGTTCCTCAGAGTCCTGGCGCAACCCACCACGGGGGATCGGCCATGAAACGGACGGTGCCTTATTGGTGAGATGGAATTGTGCGGATTACAAAAGCTTGTGGCATAATTCTTCATCGTCGTCAACCGCAGCATAAAAAAAATGCGCGAAATTACTCGCAAGTGTGCAGCGGGCACCACGCTTCTCCGAAGAAGGACGAAGGATGGAATAGTGAATGCCTGCCTACAACACAAATATTAATTGCGTAGTGGGTACACTGCAAGTGTGCTTGCAGCAGCTACCCAAAGAGTGTTAAAAAAGGCTCTGAAAGGCCACCTTTCCAGCTTTCGCTGTGACAGTGCATGCTGCTTGTTTTTATTACCAATACAGCTTACTTATATCGTCGAAAGCAAGGATTACTGGCTGTTGATCATTGGAATGAATGGACAAAGAAGTGTAAAACGAAAAGGCAGAGCGAACAAAAATACGTCCAGGCGTATTTGTGCTCATCAGCTCTGTGTGGCAATCGGAAGAAAAGGTGAAAGAAATTCCCGCCATAACAACCCAGCTCCGCGAAGGTCTGATGGGGGAACACGAGATGAAAATGAATCTCTGACTCAGGTGAGGAAACACAGTGCTATATTGAAATAAAATCTGAAGTGGATTGGTGACAAACGGCTAATGAAATCACTATGGTCTTCTAGGCCAAAACGGTCGCGGAAACCTGCTGGGCGCCACTCTGCGCACCACCAGCACGCTGAATTCAACGACCTCATTGTGCCATTCAATAAAGTTGTTTCTCTCTCTCTCTCTAAAATGACCATGTCATCAATCACTGGTCGATTGTATAGTCTTGCAAAAGCACCGAGAAAAATTGTGCTGAATAAATGGGGACACAAGAAGAAGACACACAAAGCAGGCGGTATCTTCTGAGATAACGTTTTATTGTCACTCTCGGGTACTTATCACTCAAGAAAAACCATATGACACATGGTGAGCACAAAACTAATTTCTGAGGAACGGCACTTCTTTTTCACCAAGCTTAAAGTGCTGACGCAGACGGAACCCAGGGATCAGATAGCCTCAGCCTGAACAATCTTATTTGTAAGCTTGTGATATATTCTATTATTATAGTACATGCATTTAAGAGCGGTGCGCAGCCGCAGGAGTTATTATGAACGGATAGCCATCTACCCTTCCCATTTTTACATTGTTACTATTTTCCCATAATTCAGGCAACAGCCCGTCTGTCCGATATATTGTTGGCCTCAGGAAAACGGGATGCGATGAACTACGCCTATTATACAAGGAACAAATGCAGTTTGATGCTTCTTTTCCAAACCATTGGGTTTGGCATTGCGGTAATGAAGTCGGCAAAGACTATAGCCAACTTTTTGGAAGCCGAAAATACTATACCCTTACTTCAGAACGCTCAGCTACAATTCTTTGAGATTGTGCGAAATCTTATGATGAGGGTATCAGCTATCGGTGCTAGGGTTTCTCGACACAGTGCTGCACTGCATCTTCCGTGTTGCAGAGCTGAAGAAGCAAGATTCCACAATGAATGTTTGAACGTGATTGATTGATTTGTGGGGTTTAACGTCCCAAAACCACCATATGATTATGAGAGACGCCGTAGTGGAGGGCTCCGGAAATTTCGACCACCTGGGGTTCTTTAACGTGCGCCCAAATCTGAGCACACGGGCCTACAACATTTCCGCCTCCATCGGAAATGCAGCCGCCGCAGCCGGGAATCGAACCCGCGACCTGCGGGTCAGCAGCCGAGTACCTTAGCCACTAGACCACCGCGGCGGGGCGTTTGAACGTGCCGAGGGTATACATAACCTGCTTTAGACAATCAGTCTAAGTGACTATGAAAAACTTTCACGATTTGGTGCTCACACGACTTGCCTAAAGCTTGTTGAAAACAATGATATATGATGCCCCTTTTCACTGTAGTTTGAAATAAGTGGATTGGTCTGGTAGGACAGGTTTGTTCATACGTGGTTGGTATGCCCAACATATACGATTTGCATGAAAAGTGAACAGGATGTCGAGGAATTTGATTGTATTACCCTCAGGTAGTTCATGAGTAAGAGTCAAAGGTTTAAAACAGTAAGAAAATTGCGAAATAACGTGAGATGCACACGACTCGTCTGAAACGTCGGTTAACAAAACAAGGTAGTGATAATACCAAAACACTTTTTTGACCTTCGAGCTATACATGTAGGTTAATTGATCTGTCAACTTCACTTAAAAATATGTCACTTAAAATGGGTGCTAAGCGCGACCCGATATGTATCCAGTCCTTTTGAATAAAAGGCTTCTAATCCCACAAAATGTAGGTAGTCTTTAGATGAAATCATAAAAGTTGTAAAAATTGTTGGATAGGAACACAACACTTGATTTGAAATCTTATTCATAAACTACTTGAGAGTAATGCCATCCAATTTCTCGACATTCTGTTAACAGCATTATTGTAAAATACTGCTTTATTATTTACACATACATTTATGAAACAAATGTTTGATAAATCTATGAAGCTGAAAAAAATCGCGTCGACGAAAAAGTGCCCTATGTTCGCAAAAAGAAGTAATTTCAATCCCATTCCATTCTGAGCGAAATTCGCTCAATTCCCTTCCCATTTCATTCGCATTTCATTCGCATTCATTTTAGTGGTCGTGAAAATGTGGAATTATTCAGGAGTCATTCAATTTTAAAGTGGCAACACCGCAACACTGCTCGTGACCTCAATATGTGAAGACTGCGATTTGGTTTTGTCTGCGAGGTGGATTGCTAAACGGCCGTGTCATCTTCGGTATCTAAGATCTGCGTGCTCTGTTGGGCATAGAAAGGCATTGTGAAAGACTGTAATGAACACTTCCGCATGTCCGTTCATGCATGTTTGCACATCAAGTTTCCATTTATAATATATTTTTTTGATTTCAAGAAATTTCACCGCCTGCAGTCATGCAACTACGGTTGGTGATGCATCTGCAGATGCATCAAATTAAAAAAAGGAGAGGACATTCCAGGCGGACATGCGGTGCTTACCTTCCCACTTGCGCATCATGTGGATGTTGTCGGGGTCCCTGGTGAAGCTGAACGCGTAGCCGCTGTACGTTGTGCCAAAGTCGATGGCGACCACCACGAAGTGCGAGCAGCTGCCCGACTCGGGCCGGCTCGCCACGCCGCTGTCCGCCGTGTCACTGCGACCCAGCTGACACTCGTCCACTGCGCGATCACCGGCAAAGTGCGTCAAATATCGCGCAACCAGGAAGCACTTTTTTTTTGTCTGTGCTCGAAACTTTGTGGTTATTGGAGCGCAGTGATATACTTTTCTTTTTTTCTCTCGCTTGTTACGAGAGACAAGATAGACAGAATCACCACCAAAAACATCGGTGCACTGCTCTCAACATCCGTGCACCATACGCCACACTCCGCGCCCTGCAACCAGTAGAAGTCATGCTTGTGCTTGCCACAAGTACGCACTGTTTTACAACATACTGAGCGACAGACACCTCTCTCTACACTAGTTTATGGGATGCGTCAGCAAACACGTGCACGGTCTTGTGCCGTCCACTGGGTGGAGCGACACAAGGCAGTCGCGAGACAACGCTGACCACTAAAAGAAACAAACTCACTAGACCCGAATCACCTTACTTTATGACGTCGGTGAGTGGACGAGTGCGAGCTTGACGTCGTCGAAGAGTGCTGTACGTCCACTGCTGGCGGCGGTTCGACGCGCGGCTTTCGCAGCAAGTAGGGGACAAAGGCTCGTCTGCGAAGTGTCATGTGGCCCGGGACGGGAGCGACAGACACGCGAGAGGCGCTCTCCGACCCAGTCTGTCGCAGCCACCTCGGCAGTTACACATAAAAATGACTCAAACGAGCCGCCCATGTCTAAAGCCGTCTTTTCATCCCCTTATTCTGCCTCTTCTTACGTGGTGCGGCGGCGAAAGAGCGAGAAATAAACACGTTGCTGCCAGTGTGTCACAGCGCACGCAAACGTCTAGAAGATAGGACACCGCCGTATTATCTGCTTGAAGGGTGGGGCTGTTCTTATGGTACCAAAATTAACGGCACTTGTGGCATATAGTGAGTGTCAATGTGGTTTTCGAGTTTCGTTGCTTTTCTTTATTCAATTTGAGAAGTAAGTGAAGCGCCTTTTCACTCTTTCCTAAGGGGGGGAAGGGGAATACGCTCAAAAGCATGTCCTGCATTACAAATGCGCCGCGCTCATAGTCACACAGGATATCCTTAACACATTTAGCATTAGGTCGTTCTAGCAGTGCGGAAAGACGGCATCGTCGGCACGCAGCTGTTTTTACATTGCATGGCCTTTATTAGCCAATTAATAATTTACCAAGTTTTCGATGGAAATGAGCACCTTGCAACGAAGGCGCAATGCTGAAGAGACAGGGGAGTTGATGGGCATTCAGTTGGTCCCTGATAACTTTTGCGAATTTCTTTGTTCCTTGCTTTTTCAACTTTGATTTTCTCTGTTTGTGTCTATATCATTTTTGTCCCTGTTTATTTATGTTTTTTTCTCTCTATTCGTTCTTTTCTGTTCTTCCTTTGCTTTATGGTTTTCCTTTTTTTTTCTATGCTAAGATATACACTCTTTTACGGAAGGAATGAGGCGCAAACGAGACGAACACAAGAAGAAGCATGAACGATTGCGTTCGTTCATGCCTCTTTTTGCGTCCATCTCGTCAATGACACTGTGGGGCTCAAATTTGGGTCCACTGGGTGCCAGCCCAGTATTCTACCACTGAGCCACTCTGGTGCTTGGTACTTGTTGACAAAATTACTTGAGGCAGGCTTGACGTTGGGAACGCAATCGAGTTAATACGACTTATAAAGCGTTTTAAAACAGTGAAAGAACAAGCAGTCCTCACACAATGCGAATAGCGTAACGAGTGGGTTGTGTAATACTCCAATCCATTACAAAAGCTTGTTTTTGTTCAGCTATTAACTGTGGCACATACCCACTTCAGGCATGTTTCCCCGTCGTCGTCAGCCACTGTATGAACAATTGGCACCAAATTCCTCGCAATAGTTTAGCGGATACCACACTTTTCAGAAGAATGACGAAAAGTAGCATAGTGAATGCCAACCTACTACCCTAAACTTTTTTAAAATTAAAGCCGTCGTGGGCACCAAGAAAGTGTGCTTGCAGCAGTTACCCAATGAGTGTTGAGAAAAGGCTCTGAAAAGCCGCTCTTCTAGCTTTCGCTGTGACTGTGTCATGCCTTCCACGCAGGCCTGGCACTTTTTCCTTATTTACAATGTCTGGATTTTTTATATTTATTATTGCGAAAGAAATATATGGACACTCTCAGCTGGATTTCGCCACCGGTGTCGGCGTGGGCATCGGCGTCGATGTCATGCACCGTATATGTATGCGTATCTATATAAAAGAAAACGCAAGACAAAAATCCAGAAAAAAAAGATTATACTGCGCGCGGATTCGAACGCGGGACCTCCGCATCGTGAATGCGAGGCGTTCACCAGTGAGCCACCGAGAGGTTTTTTTTTTTCTTTATTATGAGCCACCGAGAGGTACCTGCTTCAACGTTCAAATGACCAGCTATCTATATCTACCACTTACAGCTGTTGGCGGGCATCATGGGGGGGGGGGCTATCGTGTTTTCAGCATTATCAGCAAGATGGCGCAATGAGCGCGCGGCGGCTCTCATCTCTCTGGCGTACTTTGGCCCACGGAGAGTAGGGGAGTAGACTATCTCTCACGTGCCCTTTTTCTTTTTCTTTCAATATTTTTTTTTCTCTCTCCCTGGTGCTCGTTTTCCCACCTATCGGAGAGATTGCACGCTGCGCCGGAACAAACTGCACGCGTGCTTTGACAGCGCAGATGAAGACGGCAGTGATAAAGAAGATAAAGAGAGCGGGTGCCGGTCCAGCGGAGCAGGTGCGGCGTACTAGGCAACGTGTGGTGCTCCGAGATTTTTTTTTTTTTTGCTCAGCAGTTTTAATTACCGGCGTAAACAGTTTAGCTTTTAGAAAGAGAAAAAAGAAAGGCTGGGTGCTGACGATGCAGAAAAGGCCGCAGATATCTTCACAAGTCCCGCGCAGTCGTCAGGACATTAATCAAGAAACAGTGCGATCGGAACGCGTACGCCTCGACGGGCGCAGTCGATACACGAAAATATGGCGAGGCGGAATTATGGGAGGGGGCTAAACGCTTTCCTTCTCTTCTATGGCTGCCCCCGACGTCAAACATCCGGCCATGACGGGGTGAAAGGCGTGCGCACAGACTATATGTGTACGTCACAAGAACTTCCGGTAAAATCTGCCGGTTTCGGCCTTTCGGCGGAACAAGGATTCTTGCTTCACGGAGCAATCTGTAATCTTCGTTTGCGCTCAATCTGCCATTGGAACCCACAGTTCGCGCTCCCGATCCGCAGTCGTAATATGATTGCTCCACTCGCTTCGGAAAAGTTGATTTGGATCTGCCATTGGAATTCAACGTTAAAAATATATGCAAAACGTGCACATGACCGCTGGGACGGCCTTAACAGGCGCCTCTCGCTCGTACTGATCGGGTAAAGATAAGACTGTTTTTCACTAGTCGTGTTCACCAGTCGCAGGATGCGAAGTATGCTTTATCTGTTTGAACTTGGCGTTTTTTTTTTCTCGAAAGTGTGCATTTGGCTCCTTTTCTTTCCAAATATTGCTTGGTTGTTTTTCACGTGAACTTTGGTGCTGCGCGTTGAAAATGTAACTTCTCCATCTGAAGTGCTTGTTATTTTAGTTCACAATATAAACTGCGACTACAATATTTCGAGGCTGTAATTTTTAGTGGTTGTATCCGACACAATCACTTAAGAGCGCTAGCTTAGGAGCCGGCTGGACAGTCACTGCCGTACGATGAGACCAAACGGGTCTCAAAACGTAGGGTCAGTTTTTAAAATCTAGAACAAAAAACAAAACTTGTCTGAACTGCCTTTTCATTCTCGCATTGCCATGTTCTTTACATACATAACAACTGACAAACGTCCAATGTTTTTATTTGTCTTGAACATCCAATTACTTCTGAAAAGGAGAAGCAGAATTTTTTTATTGTTGTGATTCTCAGTATGTCAAACAAGTGGTCGTAAAGAACAGTAAGTGACAAAAAATGAGGTGTTCCGTGTACAAGCCTCACATTGTATTCTTACGTTATTTGCCAACAAAACTCGGTGATATGCAACACTATTTCGGAGGGAAATGAATTTACGTGTCAAAACTACTATATGGTTATGAGGGACGCCGTGATAAAATGACTTAGTTTACAAACCTTGGATTTCTGCCCCATCAGCCGCTGTCTCAGGGAGTCACAGCTTCGCGCTTACCCGCTAGACGTCATGGATATGGCCTGGTCTGAGAGGGGGGGGGGACAAGCTGGCAAAGGGGTGGTCTCACCACTGGGTCAGTGATTGTTACTTGGCGCAACCAACGGCAAGATTTAGCACAACAGCTTGTTTCCCACAGTTAACTTTTAAAATCATTGCAAGGCAGCTGGCATAGCATGACTGGGCTTTGTATAAGCGTCACACGAGAAGACTGACCTGTCAAAGCATCGATAGAAGATGTTTTATGGTATTGCTTTGACCAAAAGATCACTCGGCTAGCTTGGTTTGACCGTGTTCAACCACGGCATTTTTTCCCCTTTTGCAGCTGTGCGAATGCCAGTAGGCTTATTAAATAAGCACTAGATACTTTTTTCGCACATCGCAGGAGATGCAATACGATAGCACACTATGCATGCCAAGATATTTTGTCCGTGACAACCCATTTGCCTTTCTTTTTCATCCGCAATGACTCAAAATGCAGAAAAGACAACATCGGAGCGCTTACCTGGCATAATGCAGATGTCGCCCGTCTCCGAGAGTGCTTTACCCACGCTGGCTGCTGGTGATTTGACGTCGCCCACGCCCATGTCTATCTCAAGCTCATTGTTTCTGCCCAACAAGGCGTCTCGCCTTTCCGTGACTGCATATCCATTCAACTCCGAGGTTGTCTGTCCAGGTGGCGCTGTCTGCTGCGGTGTCATGCCGAAGGCCACGTAGGGCTTCTTGTTCGAGCCCGGAAAGCAGACTTCCTCTATTAGGTTGTCATTCTGCACCTCTGAGTCCGTTGGATGTTGGCACGACCCGTTGGAAATAGCTTCCGAGGGGGGCGCATGCCGAGAGTCGGTCGCTGGCTTTGGAAACACCGGTGGCGGAGGACCGTCTGCAAAGACTTCTTGATCGCCCGCGATGGACAAGTCCAACTGTTGGATGACTTTCAGGGTGTCTTGGTCCAGTCCTGTCTCCTTATCAACAACGTTAGGAGAATGGTTAATTGTTGGTGCCATTATCGAAGATGCGGGTGGCATCGCAGCTGCTTGACTAGACATCTTCTTGAGCACCTCTTGCACGATGGAAGTCCTGTTCAAACTAGACAATGACCTCCTCCGGGGTGAGTCCTTGCTTCCCAGCCGAAAGGCGACCTGTTGAGGCTTGGTAGGCGACTGGACGGTGACCGCTGGTACTCGCGACTGCTGCTGCTCGGGCACCTGTCGTTCGGATGCCAGCATCGTCTGACAGAAGTCCTGGAAGTTATCGCTTAGTACCTGTCTCGATACGCGCACGTTCGGGTTGACGCAGTGAGTGACAGGCGCAGTCTGGAGGCCACAGTCTTCGTCTTCAAGCGTCCTCTGCTGGCCGATCCTCCACAGAGGCGGAGGCCGGTCGCAGCACGAAGCGTGCTCTCGAAAGCAGCACGTGTAGTTTTGCCCAGCGTGGTGCTGTCCAGCGTTGTGGTCCCCAAAGCTACGGCTCCTATAGTCAGTGGTCGACAGCCTAGGCCGATGGTATTCCTGGAGGGCACTGTACGTGGCCGCCGACAGGCTGCGCTGTTCCAGAGATTCCGCGGAGCTGTGATCGTCCCGGTGAACTGTCAGGTCTTCCCGTTCCTGGTAGGTGACCGTGGCGCGGCCATGGTAGGTGGCCTTGCGCTGGCATCTCGGAGTGCTGAGAACGCCGAAAACGGCGCTCTCGGCGCATTCCTGACGGAGGACCGCTTCGTAGGCCTGGAGGGGCGACTGGTACCTCCCCGTGTGGCAGGACTGGGGATCTGTCGAAAACGAAAGAAAGGTAGAAATGGTTACTAATTGTGGTGGCCTTCTGAAGGAACGCCTGGACACAATTAAATTTCACGATGTTTGAGACTACGCTAGTGTGCAGAGAGCATGCAGACAAACCCGGACCTGCGAAGCTCGTTGAACGCGCGTCCAAGTTAACTGGAGAAAATATCAGCCCACCATTTTCTACCACTTCTTGAAACGATTCAATTCAATTCAATTCAATTTTATTTCATCCCAAGGATGAGGGCAGGCTCGGGAGAAAAGTGACGTTTTGTCACTTGAGGAGAACCCGAGCCTCCCTAATTTATGGCAAGCAACGTGGACATGAGTAAAGAAACATAAGCCATGAACATATAGGCAACGAACATAGGCCATGAGATGTTTAGCGCAGTACAAGTCGGAAGATGCACGTACAGTAATGCTATATACAGAGACTAATATGCGTAAGTAGTTCGGCACAAATTCCGAAGTACAATGCAAAATATGACGGAATACAGAATACTATATATGTGACAACAATGCTATGCATAGAAATTGCGTGTACACACATACACATAAATATACACACACATATGGAAACGAGAAAGACAAGAAGGCGTGCACTATCTATTGCACATTTGTTGGCAATATTTACAATATTTCTTGCTCAACCAGAAGCTTATCTAGTGGCCAGATTTGGGTCACGTAAAAAAACCCCAGGTGGTCGAAATTTCCAGAGCCCTCCACCACGGCGCCTCTCATAATCATATCATGGTTTTGGGGCGGTAAACCCCACATAATAATTAATCAGCAGCTTATCTTGACATGTGAAGGATATCATGTTGCGCTTTGCACCTGAAGCGCATATTATTTGCCACCGTTAGACTTCATTGGAGCTGACAGCAGCAACACTGAGGCGATTTTTATTAATCTATTGCAAGCAAAACAATCGCATAGATGCGGAAACGTGGTGTGCCCACAGAAAAACATGCAAAAAAAATGGAGGTCTCTTATCATCGCCTTAAGATTTGAACACGATGACGATATCCTGTCCCAAGTGCATACCTCAACCACTTAGTGCACACTTTTACTGTATGATGTAACTCAATAGGTAAAAAAAAGAAGTTCTAAAATTTGCCAGGCCTGCATGGAAGCCGCAGGACAGCCACAGTGAAAGCTATAATATCGGCCTTTCAGGGCCTTTTAAAAACACTTCTTGTGTAACTATTGCAAGCACACTTGCTGATATTACTAGGGCATTAATAATAATTTTTTGCGGTAGTAGGCCAGCATTCACTATGCTATTTTTTGTCATTCTTCCGTGAGGCGTGGTATCAGATAAACACTTGCAAGGAATTCTGTGCCAATTGTTCATGCAGTGGCTGACGACGATGAGGAATTATGGCTGAAGTGGATATGCGCCACAGTTAATAGGGAAACAAGAAAAAGCTTTTGTAATGGGTTGGAGCATTAGATGGCCCACTCGTTAAGTTATTCGTATTGTGCGACGACTGGTTGTTCCTTCGCTGTTTTAAAACGCTTTATAAGTCGTATTAACGCAATTGCTTTCCCGACATCAAGCCTGCCTGAGGCAAGTTTTCTAACAAGTGACAAGCACCGTCGTAGCTTAGTTGTAGAATTCTGGGCTGACACCGAGCAGACCCGGGCTAGAGCCCCACTTTGTCATTTGTGCTAGTTTTTTTTCTAATTTCGCGCGATGTGGTTACGGACACCGGCGGCGGCGGTGGACAAGTGCGCATGACCCGAGTTGTGATCTCATAACAGCTTTTGCTGTCAACGTTGAAAGGGGGCTTGTGTCACTGAAGCTTTCGCATATGGTTCCATTCTGAGTAATGGGTAGCATGCTTTGAACCACGAGCAATGACGTAAACGACCCAGGTTCAATCTTCACTCGAAATACGGAGTTTTCATTATTTGTTCTGTTTGCATCTTTCTCGATTTTCCAGTGACGCACAAGATGGTGATTTTTTGCTCACAACCAACGACGCCGACGCCGGAATTTCTGCGAAACGAGTTCCTCAATGCTCTCGCGGTCAAAAAGGTCTTTGCCACACCCTATCCTCACGGGTCATTCCAATGCGCCACTGCTAACCATTAGACGTGCGGTACAATAGTCCCTGGGCATACGTCTCTTATGACGAGTATTGTATCCCGCAACCCACCGCGGTTGTCTAATGGTTATGGTGTTCGACTGCTGACCTGAAGAACGCTGCTTGGAATCCTGGCATGGTGGCTAGATGCCCGTGTACTTTGATTTAGGTTCACGTTAAAGTTCTCCAGGTGGTGGAAACTTCCCGAGCCCTCCAAACAGTACATGTCTCCAATAATCTGACCATGGTTTCGGGCCGTAACCGGTCAACATTCCATTCCGCGCTACCATCATACATGACTTCTATGTCACTGAATCGATGTCTCACACTGCGCAGTGTGCACACACATGATCCGGCGTTTTCAGCTCGAGAATGTTTCAATGCGTAACATAAGCAGTGCAATAAAATGAAAACTGCATAAAATCAACACATTGAGTAGTACGGACCAAGCACGACTGATCGTAGAATATTTTACAGCGCAACGGGTTAGATGCGGGCAAAGAAAGGACCCTTTCACATCTAACACATTGCGCTGTTATAAGATATTCTACCATGAACAACCACCAACTCGCTTCGCTCGCGACTGATCGCATCATCGTTCGTTGTATAGCGTTTAGGTAACCATTACTTTGAAGGCTTGACAAAGGTTCGATTGCTTGCTTTGGATATGCCGAACCTGTTGCAAGAACCGAAAGAAGCAAAGCGTTCCGCTGAGGCGAGCTTTGGCGCGGCGTCTGCCTTGGTGGCCATAACGGTCGAGTGACCGCGTGCAGCTTTGTGCGCACAGCCAAGGCGGAGGGCGCTGCTTTTTCTTCCCCTCAGAGGCGAGACAAAAGAAGGGGCGCTCCGTGGCGGCCCACTTGAGAGAGGCGTGCAAACCGCCTGACCCGCATCGCCCCACGAGCGAAAACAACGGCGCTCGCCGTCGTTATTCGCGGTCGACCCACTTGAATCCGCTTTCGGACGCTTATTGTAACAGCGCGGATCGAAAAACAGTGTGCCCGGACGCGAGTGCTGGCACGACGGGCGTCAGGATGCAAGAGATCGCGAGACATGATGTCCGTCTGCGTACATATGCTAACAGGCCACCTGTATACTCCATTCCTATCGTTTACTCTCCTCCATTCCCATTCACTACTTATCGCCGTTCAGGTGCCAATTGCTCGGGCTACAAAGTTACAGTGCGGACAACGGTGAAACGCTTCGTTCCCCTTTTTGTATACATTTCATCGAGTGAACAACCAGTGACGTTCGGAGTGTAGCTGGCGGGGAACGGGAGTATCAGAAGGAAGAAACTTAGATGAGTTAGCAATGGGCGCATTGCTTCATATTGCATATTCTATAATGGCCTCTCGAGGTGGTTGCTCTATTGTACTTTAATTGCACTTATTTGGAGGCTTCAAAGCTTTGAATAGCCAGGAAACTTTCCAATGACGAGAACATTTCAAATGTGGAACAATAAAAAAAAAATTCACATTGTGGACTATGGGACATCATTTTAAAAGAACTCTGGACGGGCTGCAAAAGCCGAGAATCGACAGTACTGCACCGTATACGTCGAGCAATAGCAGCAGAACTCAGGTCACGGCACGGCCACTCTATGTTGCCAGATGCCGAAACTTCGTGCGGAACGAAAACTTCCCCACGGACTCTAGTGGCACGCCCAGGGAGAATGCCGCTCATTGGACGCGGTCTCTGGCACGATTGCTGCAACAGACGCACATACATAGAATCGTTCGAATGGAATTCGGCAGCATGCGCCACGTCTGCTTTTGCAACAGGCGTTGTTAGAAAAATTATGAGACCATAAAAAACCGCCTGACGTACGCCAAGAACTCGCTCTTCCATTGCCGCTACATGTCGCATGCAGCCCCATGGAGACGCCTGTCAAGAGTTCGGAGTGGCAAAAAGGTATGTCTATTTAGCACCGAACCATCCACTAAGTATCCGTGTCGGCACGCCGAGCTTTTTCTAACCAGAGTGCGTGACGGTCGGTATCGTATAAAATGGCCAATAGGTCAGCAGGCCCAGTGGGCAAAGACACTACTGTTGACTGCAGTAGTGGCATATCACTACAACAGCTGACCGTCTCAAAGAGGGCCACTTGGCAGCGTCATTTTAGGGGGCTATCTACAGAGGCTTCTGCTGTCAACGATTTATTTATTGTTCGAATCTTCAAGAAATTCAACTGGTATAAAGTATCACGGCAAAAGATAAGAAACAGTTGACGTCCCGAAGCTCTATATGAAAGACGTCGTAGCGGAGGGTTCCATGTAAGTTCAATCGTTTAACATCCACTGACTTGCACAGGGCTGAGTTGAGTGGTGGAACAACGGAGAGGCCTTTGCCCTGCAGTTGGCGTAGTTGGGATGATGATGATGATGATGATGATGATGATGATGATGATCAAATCGCACAGGCCTCCAGCCTTCCGACTTCATCTCAATGCGGCGACGTAAGAGTGCGATCGACTTAGAGTATCAAATTATTTTTCATTTAGCGTTTCGTAAGAGCTAAAGTTTTTGACTGTGCTCTCTTTAGATTTGAAGTGGCCTTACATTTTTTTTTCAGCAAATGCATTCTCTGTGTCCATGTGTCGGCGCATGACAGTGGCGCGAAACTATTGGTACGAAATCTTCTTGTGAGGGTGTGTGCCACTGATAACGGACAATGACCGTGACATGAGCTTTTGTTGAAACAGCCTGAGGCAAATGATTAAGGTGAGGTTGCCCAATCAAGTTGGGGGCTCCGCTGATGACGGAACCATGTGGAGGTGACTCTCAGCGACGTCATGGGCCGTTTGGACACAGCCTATAATTGGCGTGCAAAAGTTCGGGCTGCGCAGTAGGTCGTCTTGTTTGGCCTTGTCTTGTAAGTTGGAGCCCTCATTTGACGGAAAC